TGGTGGAGAGGGATGGATTTGGTTTGGAAGAGAGAGTAGGACGGACATAATTATACTACATTGTAATTTTATTTTTTTGTGACTTGCAAACCCGCTGTAAAATTAATAAGAGTTCTGGACAGATTCGGAAAGGATGTCAAATCATTATTATTATTTGTTTGACATTATAACTAAGATTCAATGGCGGTTATTGGTGAGAATGGAGAGGGGCTTTATTCAGAGGATTGGGTGACAGGGAGGACATCAGACACTTCTCTGAGGTGTGCGTGGGGGCCTCCACTCATCCCATTTCAGTCTCTCTGGGACCCACTCTCCCCAAGTAGACCCCACACCAGCCACGATACTTTAATTTAATTTATAAGCTAATACAAACTGACCACACTACTTAAGTGTCAGTCTTTCTCCACATATTTTTGTGCATAAAAGCCCTAAAAAGGCTTAGCGCCTCAAGTACAAAGACGTACTTTGTTTTATGTAATTGTTTTGTGTGTTTTTTTTGTTAAATGTCTGCTCAGCCCACATGCACACACGCTCTATATATGTAATGTATACAACAACTATGTATGCCCACCACCCTCATATGTCATGTCTGTTAAAATGTTTTATTTGGTTCTTCAATGATAGACGGAACGGATACAAGTAAAGACCAACAAAATCCAACTTATCACATGAAATGTGCATGGGCTCCATATTGGGAGGAAAAAGCATATGGTTCTCGAACACTTAAAGAGATTGTCAGCAGATGTGTTTTTCTTGCAAGAGTTACATTTAAATAAAGGAAAAATTGAATATTTAAAGAGGTGCTGGGTTGGAGAGGCCTATGCTGCCCCCTACTGTAGTAACAGCAGAGGTGTAGGCATCCTGATAAATAAGAATCCACCATTTTCCCTTGTATCCCAGCAAATAACATTGGGGTCCCACAAGGTTCAATGTTAGGCCCCTTCTGTTTACTATATTATATAAATGATCTCCCACTTGCTTGCCCACAAGTTAACAAGACCATACAGTCATGTATGTACACTCAAAACAAAGACAACAAGTGTTAACAAGTTAACTGAAGCTATGGTACACGTTTCTAAATGGATGACTGATTGTTGTCCTGCATTTAAATATTGACAAGACTGTTTGTATGTACTTCTCTAAGAAATCCATTGATTCTTCCCAAAGAGCTGTTCTTGTCAATGGAGAGAATCTGAAAGTTGTGTCCAACTTCAGGTATCTCGGAGTCATTTTGGACTCCTACTTGACATTTAAGAAATATGTGAAGAAGGTGGTTAACACGGTCAAGTTTGGATTATCCAACTTTAGGTTAATAAGACCTTACCTTCCTCTGGAGGCCGCCAAACTATATATGCATGATATGATCTCACATCTGAGATATTGGCTCACATACTGGTCTCAAGCAGGAGCTACTATTCTGAAACCAATTGAATGAACTCTACAGACACACACTTAAGATTTTTGATAACAAACCAAACAGCAACCGCCATTGTCACATCATTCACAAACATAATTTATTCAGTCTGGATAGCTTTAAGCAGTATGTAGATACAAGCCTTGTCTTTAAGATCCTGCATGGTCTTGCCCCTCCACCCCTATGCCGGCATATCATGCTCAAGGAAAGCACCTCCAGGATAACAAGGGCAGTAACTAGAGGGGATTGCGTTGTCCCTTTTTAACACAGTAAATTCGGTCAATCGGCCTTCTCTGTTAGAGCTACAATATACTGGAATGCAATGCCCAGGGACTTGAGAAGCTGCACTGATTATTGTACTTTTACATTTAAATTGAAAACATGGCTCAAATCTATCCAAACCTGCACACATGAGTTATCTGTGGTTCCTCATATGTAAGACGAAAGTTGATGATAGTGTTTTTATTACGAATAAGTTGTTGTTAGAATTATATATTATTGGATGTAATGTAATGTATTTTGTATTGTTTTAGTGTGTATTTGTATTGTGGCTGTGTAATTAATTGCCTTTACCTGCCCAGGTACTACGGGTGCAAATTAGTTTTTGGCTAACCCCGGCACATTTACATGGATGTTGCATTATAGTAATATTGATGTTGATGAATGTGAATTGTCCTCTATAAATAAATAAATAAAATATAGACCAAGAAGACCGTTTTTTCAAATGTTGAATTGTACCTTACATGGTGAAAAATACACATTGATTTCATTGTATATTACACCAGGGGCAAATCTGGTGTTTTTAGATTTAGAATTCAAGCTATATTAGATCACATCCAGAAAGGAACTATTATTTTAGCAGGTGACCTAAATCATACATTCGATATGATTGACAGACAAAATAAAAAAATTCTACGTGGTCCTCTGTAGCTCAGCTGGTAGAGCACGGCGCTTGTAACGCCAGGGTAGTGGGTTCGATCCCCGGGACCACCCATACACAAAAAATGTATGCACACATGACTGTAAGTCGCTTTGGATAAAAGCGTCTGCTAAATGGCATATTATTATATTATTATTATCTTTACAAATAATTTACAGGACACCTGGAGATTATTATCCCCAACTACAAAAGACTATTCCTTTTTTTTTCTCAAAGCAAAAAAAAAGCTATTCAAGAATTGACTGCATCTTTATTTCCAAAAATGCACTAAACGATTTACTGGATTAAAAAATGCATGATATAGTGATATTGGATCATTCTCCGGTATCATGTTTAATTACACCAATAGAAAATACACTTGGCGACAGAATTTGGAGAATGAACAAAGGGCATCTTCTGGACCCGAAATTGATTAAATACGTAAACCAAAAAATATAAACATTTACCATTACAAATGTCGACATAGAGGACAGAGAAAAGCCGACCCCCGACATAATTTGGGATGCTTTTAAGGCGTACATTAGGGGAATGATCATCTCATACTCTGCAAAAGTTAAATCTGATGTAGAAATTAAAATTAAAGAAAAAAAATCACTATCTTAGAAAAAGCGGCAAAAAAGTATTTACAATGTAAAGAAGAAAATACAATTTCTGAACTTAAGCAGGAATACGAACTTTTACTATTGAAGAGAGACAACAACTACAGGTTAAATTCAAATAAAGCATGCTCCTTAATGGCAAATAAACCTGTTAAGTATCTCACAGCTCTCAAAAAACGAATACATGCCAAACCAGTTACAATTTTTAAAGATAAAGATAATAGTCCAGGTTCCTCTCTAGGTTTCTTCCTAGGTTCCTGCTTTTCTAGGGAGTTTGTCCTAGCCACCTTGCCTCTGCATCTGCATTGCTTGCTCTCTGGGGTTTTAGGCTGGGTTTCTGTACAAGCACTTTGTGAAAACTGCTGTTGTAAAAAGGGCTCTATAAATAAATTTGATTGATTGAGAATCTACCGCACACCCAAAGCTGATTTGTGAAGGTTCTGGAGGTAAAAGGCAAAACTGGAGAAACAGGAAAAAGTCTCTGCACGCTTCCAGTCAGATGCAAATGTGTTTTAATTATAGCTGAGCTTTCGGTCAGTTGACCTTCATCAGAGCATATCTCCACAAACAATTGTGGGACAGATAAGGCCACACAGCGAGCCAGTGGTAATTGCAGACACCAGTACCCAAAAGGGCCACTAGATGTCCTAATATCAAATAGGAATATAGGACAGAACAGAACATGTTATAGATGTATTTCTACTGGAATAAAACACATGTACACAGGGAATGTGGAGTTAGTATAAGGAACCCATACTTTCAAAGATAGAGCAATAAAGCCAAAAAACTGCAAAAGAAAAGGACAACATATACAACACTATATACAGCATGTAGAACCAGGAGAAATCTAGACAACAATTAGGTAAAGGTAAAAGGTAACATGTCAGCGAAGTATCGGGCCACTAGGGCCATTATGAATACAGGACACCCTAATACCAGGGAGGGTGTGTGTGAAGCTAAGATGGTGACAATTGGAATTACAACATGACCCTCATATCAAAAATCCTCATTAAGTTTTAACTGCTGTAGGGTGTAGGGACAAAGTGACAAGCAACAGACACACGGTGAGAACACTGGACAAAGTTGCAAGCAACAGACACACGGTGAGAACACTGGACAAAGTGACAAGCAACAGACCCACGGTGAGAACACTGGACAAAGTGACAAGCAACAGACACACGGTGAGAGCACTGGACAAAGTGACAAGCAACAGACACACGGTGAGAGCACTGGACAAAGTGACAAGCAACAGACACACGGTGAGAGCACTGGACAAAGTGACAAGCAACAGACACACGGTGAGAGCACTGGACAAAGTGACAAGCAACAGACACACGGTGAGAGCACTGGACAAAGTGACAAGCAACAGACACACTGTGAGAGCACTGGACAAAGTGACAAGCAACAGACACACTGTGAGAGCACTGGAAAAAGTGACAAGCAACAGACACACTGTGAGAGCACCAGAGTCATTTTCATCCTTGAATCTTATTGAACTCTTATGTTTGTTTATTCTCTGTTCCAAGCTTCTGGATGTGTTGCTCATATAAATTTTACATTTTAGTCATTTAGCAGACGCTCTTATCCAGAGCGACTTACAGGAGAAATTAGGGTTAAGTGCCTTGCTCAAGGGCACATCGACAGATTTTTCACCAAGTCGGCTCGGGGATTAGAACCAGCGACCTTTCGGTTACTGGCACAACACTCTTAACCACTAAGCTACCTATTCACAAAGGACACATGTTGTCACCAACACAGTGTAGAATGTAAATCAACTTTTTTATGTTGCCTTTAACACTGTATCTGTTTCCAGACCTAGAGTGTCGGAACTCCGTTTTTTTTTTGGTGATGTTGCACTGAGCACAATTGCCACAGGGGTAGTTTCCATCTCTCAAGGGAGTAAGGAGGGTTTGTTTAGAACCCGTGTTTTTGGCTCGGACTAGTGTACTGTGAAGATTGGGGCCCTGTTTGTAGACGAGTAAGGGGTGATCCTTGAATTCCTGGCTGAGCGTTGGGTCTGAGGTGAGCACATGCCAGTGTTTCATCACTATGTTTTAATCATAAAGGCTTTGAGGGTGAATGTAGTGATGGAGGTAACAGAGAACTCCTTAGAAGTTTGAACACTTTTATTGAGCATATCCTGGTGAGCCTCTTCCACACACTGGGTGGAGTAATCCCTGTCCAGAAAACGTTGTCTCATGATGACAGCTTTATCAATAAAGTCCTCTGTCGAATGACACACAGGTCTGACCCTATAGAACTGGCTCTTGGGTAACCGTCTTTTAAGGGCACTAGGAGGATTGCTACTTGCTAGGAGAAAAGTGTTTATTTCACTCTTTCTGATATAGAGGGGTGATAAGTTCATCATTAGCAACCTTTATCCACATGTCCAAGAAATGGACCCGCTTATGGTCATATTCAATAGAGAACTTCAGGTCATTGTTCATACTGTTAAAAAAGGATGTGAATTCATGGAGTTCTTGTTCAGTGCCAATCCACACACAGAGAATATCATCAATATACCTGAACCATTTGAGGATTTTGGAGAAGTAAGGGTTCCTGGTCTCATCACAGATAAACCTTCGCTCAAAATAGCCCACAATTTTTTTTTGCATAATCAGGGGCAAAGGTGGAGCCCATAACAACTCCACTAACGTGCAGGAAAAAGTTTTTTGTAAAGGCAAGGTAGTTGAGCTTGAGAACTAGAGAAAACAGTTCACAGATTAATTCAGTAGGTGGTGACATTTCTCCGTCACGGTCCTGTAGGTAATATCCCAGTGCATCTAGGCCTTTTTCATGAGAGATTTGTGTAGAGGCTCTCTAGATCAAATGTAGCCAATATGATGTCAGGGAGATTAGACAGTTCTGATATTTTGTTAATCACATATGTAGAATCTTTTAAAATAAAATGTCTGAACTTAAGCAGGAATACAATCTTTTACTTTTGAAGAGAGCCAGCAACTACAGGTTAAACTCAAATAAAGCATACTACTTAATGGCAAATAAACCTGGTAAATATCTCCCAACTCTCACAAAACGAATGCATGCTAAACCAGTTATAATTTTAAAAGATAAAGATACAAAAGTGGTAATTAGAAACAACAACGCGATTAATTACAATTTTTAACGTTTTTATGAAAATGTATATCCATCAGAATTAAACAACAGTTGGATGGATCCTACAGCCTTCATAGACTCAACAACCCTGAAGCAATTATCAGCAGACAAAAAATTATCACTAAAAACAGAGAAGAAATATTAGATACTGTTAAAACAATCGCATGGAGAAAAGCACCAGGAACGGATGGCTTTTCCATAGAATTCTATTCAAACATTTTGGGACAAAGTAGCCCCCCTATTTACACAAATGACATCACACGTCACTCAATTCAGTACTTCCTAGTTCCATGTATCAAACAGTTATTTCAGTTATATTAAAACCAGGAAAATCTGGAGAGTCCCCTGCTGATTATAGACCAAGAAGTTGAATAAATTGTGACAATAAAATAATAATAAAGCTGATAAGCAATAGAATGGCAAAAGTCTAACCAGACTTGATACGTATCAATCAAACAGGGTTTATTAAAAATAGACACTTACAATCAAATACAAGAACCTGTTTCAGTTTAATACAATATGCAAAAAAAACTAGATAATAATGGCTGTTGATGTCGAAAAGGCGTTCAACCATCTTAAATTTAGAATCTTTCAACTTTCCAGCTGAAATAATAAATTTTATACAAATATTATATAAATGTCTTAAAGCAAAAATATTCACAAATAATTCATTATCTGATTACATTTCTTTAGAAAGGGGCACAAGACAGGGATGTCCTCTCTCCCCCCTCCTGTTTGCACTGGCAATTGAACCACTTGAAGAAAGAATTGGACAGGACACAAACATAACAGGTATCAATATTGGTAAACATATATAATATAATATAAACTAAACTTATTTGCAGATGATATCCTGATACACCTGACCAATATTGAAAACTCAATGCCCCCATTGCTAAAAAATATTTTCAGAATACTCTAAAATCTCAGGATATAAAATTAATGTGGAAAATAATTACATAATGGCAATAGAAAAACATTTTTTTTTATAATTAATGATCTACAGCAATCCTTTAAGTGGACCACAAAAAAATATTAAATACTCAGGATGCTTAATAAGTGACAACAAACAACAAATATATAGAGATAACTTTATTCCATTACTCAACAATATGAAAGCAGATCTAATTAAATGGAACAATATTCCCATAAATCTTACAGATACAATAAACCTCTTCAGAATGGCTCCAAAAGTTTTTTTAGTTTTTTTATATTTTTTTAAAAAAGTTTTTGTATTTATTTTCTGTAATAGCTATTACCCCAACGAAGACAATCTTTAAAAAAGACTCGGTCATGGGCAAATAAAATACAGAGAATAAAAAGGAATGTTTTACATCTTCTTAAATCTGAGGGTGGTTTTAACCATCCAGACTTGGAATTGTATCAACTCGCTACCCAAGGCTTTTACTTGCGACATATAGTTAAATGCACTAAAGAGGAACAATGGGTACATATCGAAGACGCGCATGCTCATCCCCAGAATATTTTGATGTGTCTATTTTCTAAGGATAAAGCTAAGAACATTAACAACTTCATAGTTAAGAACACTATAACAATACGGAAGAAAATGTAACGTATTCTACAAGAAACAATATCACTTCCTAAAAACACAACCCAGAACACTCCTTGGATAGCTTTTCAGAATTCACAGATAAATTGGTCCACATTGAAAACTAAAGGCATAGAAACCGTAAATGACTTGGTAACAGGAAATACATGTACAGTGGGGAAAAAAAAGTATTTAGTCAGCCACCAATTGTGCAAATTCTCAAAGCCTACCATCAGTAACACACTACGCCGCCAGGGACTCAAATCCTGCAGTGCCAGACGTGTCCCCCTGCTTAAGCCAGTACATGTCCAGGCCCGTCTGAAGTATGCTAGAGTGCATTTGGATGATCCAGAAGAGGATTGGGAGAATGTCATATGGTCAGATGAAACCAAAATATAACTTTTTGGTAGAAACTCAACTCGTCGTGTTTGGAGGACAAAGAATGCTGAGTTGCATCCAAAGAACACATTTACATTTACATTTACATTTTAGTCATTTAGCAGACGCTCTTATCCAGAGCGACTTACAGTTAGTGCATACATTATTTTTTTATCGAACCCACAACCCTGGCGTTGCAAACGCCATGCTCTACGAACTGAGCTACATCCCCTGCCGGCCATTCCCTCCCCTACCCTGGACGACGCCGGGTCTACTGTGAAGCATGGGGGTGGAAACATCATGCTTTGGGGCTGTTTTTCTGCAAAGGGACCAGGACGACTGATCCGTGTAAAGGAAAGAATGAATGGGGCCATGTATCGTGAGATTTTGAGTGAAAACCTCCTTCCATCAGCAAGGGCATTGAAGATGAAACGTGGCTGGGTCTTTCAGCATGACAATGATCCCAAACACACCGCCCGGGCAACGAAGGAGTGGCTTCGTAAGAAGCATTTCAAGGTCCTGGAGTGGCCTAGCCAGTCTCCAGATCTCAACCTCATAGAAAATCTTTGGAGGGAGTTGAAAGTCTGTGTTGCCCAACGACAGCCCCAAAACATCACTGCTCTAGAGATCTGCATGGAGGAATGGGCCAAAATACCAGCAACAGTGTGTGAAAACCTTGTGAAGACTTACAGAAAACGTTTGACCTGTGTCATTGCCAACAAAGGGTATATAACAAAGTATTGAGAAACTTTTGTTATTGACCAAATACTTATTTTCCACCATAATTTGCAAATAAATTCATTAAAAATCCTACAATGTGATTTTCTGGAAAAAAAATCTCATTTTGTCTGTCATAGTTGACATGTACCTATGATGTTTTTACAAATTACAGGCCTCTCTCATCTTTTTAAGTGGGAGAACTTGCACAATTGGTGGCTGACTAAATACTTTTTTTCCCCACTGTATTTCCATTACAGAATTAAAAAGCATTTTTGGACTGACCAATATAGATATTTTCAAATGCATGCAACTTAAAAGTTACATATCACAAAATGTATATTTTTAAAACATTTGGACATCAGAGCAACTGTGAGGGAATCTTATTTGAGCCAGAAAAGGATGTTCATATGATAGGTAAGATTTACAAAATCTTGCAGAGAGCATGTCCAATTGACAATCTCTTAGAAAAAATATAAACTATTGGAAGACTCAAAAAGAACTGATGTTAGCAGAAGATTTGTATGTTTGTGTTTATTATGGATCCCCATTAGTTCTTGCCAAGGCAGCAGCTACTCTTCCTTGGGTCCAGAAAATTAAGGCAGTTATACAATTTTTTAAACATTACAATACATTCACAACAAATGTCATAACACATTAAATGTGTGCCCTCAGGCCCCTACTCTACTACCACATACAGTTGAAGTCGGAAGTTTACATACACTTAGGTTGGAGTCATTAAAACTTGTTTTTCAACCACTCCACAAATGTCTTGTTAACAAACTATAATTTATCTCCTTCCCTGCCTAAGCAAATTGTGTCAGACTCTGGCATCATTACTGAGAAAAATTAGATAAGTGATGCTTTTAATCAGCATTTTATCTCGGCAGGCTTATTATTTGAAATATTTGGTGGATTAAACTGAACTTGGCCAGCCAGTCGACTACCTGCCCCTTCTCCCAGCCACTAGTTGGCTCGAAGTTCTGTCCACTTCTTTTTTTATATAAATGTTTTTTCTTCTTTGTTTTTCTTCAAGTAACTCATGCAAGCAGTAAAATTAGATTTAAAAACAGATAAAAATACACCTTATGGAACAGCGGGGACTGTGAAGCAACACCAACACAGGCACAGACACATGCATACAAACACACGATAACATACGCACTATACACACACATACACATTTGTGTTGAAGATACATTTGAAGTCGGAAGTTTACATACACCTTAGCCAAATACATTTAAACTCAGTTTTTCACAATTCCTGACATTTAATCCTAGTACAAATTCCCTGTCTTAGGTCAGTTAGGATCACCACTTTATTTTAAGAATGTGAAATGTCAGAATAATAGTAGAGAGAATGATTTATTTCAGCTTTTATTTCTTTCATCACATTCCCAGTGGGTCAGAAGTTTATATACACTCAATTCGTATTTGGTAGCATTGCCTTTAAATTAACTTGGGTCAAACGTTTCGGGTAGCCTTCCACAAGCTTCCCACAATAAGTTGGGTGAATTTTGGCCCATTCCTCCTGACAGAGCGGTTGTAACTGAGTCAGGTTTGTAGGACTCCTTGCTCGCACACGCTTTTTCAGTTCTGCCCACACATTTTCTATAGGATTGAGGTCAGGGCTTTGTGATGGCCACTCCAATATCTTGACTTTGTTGTCCTTAAGCCATTTTGCCACAGCTTTGGAAGTATGCTTGGGGTCATTGTCCATTTGGAAGACCCATTTGCGACCAAGCTTTAACTTCCTGACTGATGTCTTGAGATGTTGCTTCAATATATCCACATCATTTTCCTTCCTCATGATGCCATCTATTTTGTGAAGTGCACCAGTCCCTCCTGCAGCAAA